AATGTATCACTCACGCCTGCTCTGCCTGCCAGTACACCCTGACCAGACTCGTCTCCTCCTTTGGCAGGTTTATGAGGAACCTCGCGTTGAGGTCCTCGAGTATCTCGTCAAAGCTCATATCGCGGAACACGTTCTCCTCATCACCCAAGTCCATCTCATCGGGATCTTCGTCCTTCACACGAGCTTGTAATGTTCCGGGGGTAGGAGCGAGCGTTGGGGTCGAGGACGAGGGGCGAAGGGAGGAAGAGGGATCGATAGGGTAAAGATGCGGGGGTAAGTCGCGGGACATGGTAGAGAGGCAGGGGAGGGGTGAAAGGGAGGGAGGGGAAGCTATGATGACAGATAGACTGATCTCAGACCCGTCTGTCTCTGCCGTCGTGGTGTATGAGTGTATGACTTGGAACTAGGATTGAAGGACGGGACGAGAGACCAAAGATCAACGTTGATCCAGTTGAGCGTGTCACTTTGCACGAGGCGACGTTTTCACGTGGCACAAGACACTCTCGGACTCCCTCGGCCCATGCTCGACTCGGCGAATGCATCTGAACGCAGAAGAGAAGGCGGTGAGCAATGGTATCCAAGGTGCAGACATCCAGCTAAGCATGACAAGAATGTCGCGTTGGGACGAGACATCACTCAGTCACCCTTAAGCATCGGGGGATATCCTTCTACTTCTACAAGCGTTCTTGTGCTGCTTTCACGCATGATCAGCAATCAAGGCCAGTAATAGGGAGGGTAAGACTCTCAACGGTGCTAGCTATGGTCGGTGAGCCTTCAAATTGAGACCTAGACAATGCATTGCGAATGAACGGGACGATGCGATATGAAAAGACAATGCTGGCGAAAAATATGATGAACAGGTCGATGTCTACGAAGATCCCTCCTGCCTCTCCTCTGGACGTTGTCTGAACCCTGTGGCATACTATCTTGTCAGCTGAAGAAGACTCCTTCAATTAACACCAACCCTCTTGTTGAAATCCTTGTGCCCGGCCGTCGTCCCTTCCAAAACACTGTAATCGTCAAAAGTCGGCACCGGTCCATCATCCTCCGCCGTCTTCTCCATCGTCACCAGCTGCAACGTTAGTCGTAAACAACCCCTCTTCCGGCTAGTCAGACGTACCCTTCTCCCCCACTTGCCGAATTCTTGCACGCTCCCGTCCTCCCATTTCAACTCCGTCATGCCCTCGACGACTGGGATGTCTATCGCATCGTATTCCTCCGTCACGGTCGGCAGGAAAAATACCAGCCGGCCTCCTGGGACGAGCATGTAACGCGCAAAGCGGATCAGGTCGAGCGTTAAATGCATCATCTCGTACGGCCGGGCCGGAGGAACATAGTCGGGTTTGCTAGAGGTCAGCAAGGGATTTTGGTCGCTGAACTTTTCGCTCACAGGTGGGCAGGCGTGCCATCGGCCAGGATGAACGGCTCGTCTCGCAGCATTCTCCCTTTCTCTTCATCCTTGCCTAGTCGCTTCGCTCCGGCTCGGACTCCATCTACAAATCAGCCCAACGAGAACCCTTGACACAAAATAGACGTCTCGGAAAACGACAACGCACAAGGCGGGTCAGTGATGATCGCATCCAGCCATCCACCTCCTCTCCAAGGATTTCTGGTTACGTCAAAAGTCGCGCAATCCAACAAGAGCGAATCGACGCCGTATTGTCTCGCAGCTCGCATGATACCCGGCACAGCGTTCTTCCCGCGTTCTAGCCATCAGGACCGGGATCTAGCACGCCCGCATGGTCGACTCACGCTTTCCCCTCATTTGACGTCCGTCGATGTCAGAGCCCATGACCATCGCTCCATAGTGCGCACAAGCGTACAATAGGGATCCAGTTCCCACAAACGGGTCGTATACGATTTTACCGGGCCCGCACTACTGTCAGCATGAACTCGGCTGATCATCGGGAAAGCTCGCACGAGGGTTTGTCCTGCCATCAAAAAGCCCATTTCCGACTCCATCGACGTGTTACCATAGTACTCCCGGGTTTTGATCGAATGAGCATGGACCATTGGTCGAGCGCGCGATTGCCCAAGCTGACCCGTTAGCGAGGGAAAGGTACAACTGAGAATCGACCGACTCTTCGCCCAAAGTAAACGTGTCGGAACTGCCCCTCTCTTGCTATTTGGTCCTCTTTTGTGACGGTGTTTATCCAGTCGTCTGGACATCGGTCAGGAAGAGGTCATTGGGCGCCATCAACGCATACGTACAGTCCTCAAACACGACAAACTCGACCTCTGGGTTTGTCAGGTCGACTGGCCCTCTAAGACCCAATACATCAAAGCTCCGCGCAATGTTTCTGGTGCGTCAGCGTGGGACCGGCCGTAGTGGAACCACACTCACGCCTCTCTCTTGCATGACATGCGGAGGTTGGCAGACTCGACGGCGATCTTAAACACCGCGCTCTCTCTCCATGGTTCAAGGACGGCAGACTTGGCCTCGAGCTGCTTGTACAAATCTTCATAACTTTCCGCTTGGGCGTAAAGCTCTGCGGCCCACCTATCGTTAGTCATGCCATGAGAGGAATGTGTCCACCCACATGACGAGAATACCCCGATCAAGGAAATGCTGGACATGTTCCTCCTTCTCCAGCTCGACGATCAAGATTCCTCTGAACAGGTCCTCGGAGACGAATTTGATGGAAAAGTTGAAGCACTGGGCGATGGAGAGTAAGGAAGGGATCCGGAACGTGGGGTGATTCTGAGTCACGCGGAGTATGAAGAGGGGCATGGTTGGGGATCTGGGCGATAGGTAAAGGTGTCCGGAGGTAGGTGTCTTGACGTGCAGTATAGTCAGTGAAGGTGTAGTATCCCTCCAGTCGAAAAGAAAAGGGATGGGTTCAGCTTGTCAACATTACGTAAAACCACCGTGGGAAAGTTCAATCTCAAGTTGGATTCGGGACACTTGTATGAGACTCGATTCACTCACTCAAAGAGTATCCCTTGACCTCACTCCCCGCGTACTCCTCCACCATGCAAGACGATCGACAAGCATCCTCTTCGAGGCATGAGGAGCGAATCGCCCAGATTCCCCCTGCCGATCCGTTCACCTTCTCCCCTGATCCAGCCAAACCCAGGCCCATCCTCACGTCCGACCATACCGTAGCGCAATGGCACGCAACTCCTGGGTTTCGTGCGTTTTGGGGATGGATCACACGTCGATGCGATAGGATCAAGGGGAAGGAGATCATGACTGGGGGTAGCGAGTCATCTGTACGCGCTATACTCACCTCTGTCGAGCTGATAGAAAGCCGATTAATAGCCTTTTGGCAATGCTGGATGCAATGATCGGATGGGTAGATGAAGCGCCCCCTCAAGCACAGTCGAACCAGCGCTTTGGCAACCTCGCCTTTAGAGATTACATCAAGCTTGTGGAGAAGGTGAATAGATTGGGAAGCGGGACGGTCTCATCTAATCATGGCAGAGGCTGCCTGAACGGATCGCTGCATTCCCTTCCATACCCGCTGCGTTGCCCGACCAACTCGTGGCGCTCCTTGTCCACTCTACGGCGTTTGGTCAGCCGACGAGGCTCGATTATGGGACCGGCCACGAACTCGCCTTTGTTCTCGCACTATGGTGCTGCGTCGTGTCGGGCTGGGTAGGCGAGCAAGGGGGGGAGGATGAAGAGGATGAGCTGGTCTTACGTGTATTTCCTCGGTATGCCTAGAAGAGAATGCTACCGGCGAACGCTGCTAACATGTAGATATCTAGAACTGGTCACGCTGCTCCAAAAGACCTACCGGCTGGAACCGGCCGGGTCACACGGCGTGTGGGGGCTGGATGATTATTGCTTTTTCCCGTAAGCCTCGTCCGTACGTCCAATCTTACGCGCAGGTACCTCTTCGGCTCGGCCCAGCTGCTAGGTAGGGCCTCTTTGTCCGACTCTCTCCATCGAGACTGACTACAGACTCTAATATTACCCCAGCTCAAGCGCTTGAACGCGCCAAGCAACCCTCAAACCCTTCCGAGACTATCTCCGACATGTACACGCTCTCCCTCCATCGTATAACCTTGTTCAAGACTGGTGCTGGATTCTCAGAACACTCCCCGCTACTCCATCAGCTCTCCGCCTTTCCCGATTGGAAGAAACCCCATGCTGGCTTGCGCAAAATGTTCATGGGCGAAGTCGCGGGCAAGCGGGTCGTGGTGCAAGGGGTATGGGTAGGGGGTTGGACATGGGGGGAAGACGTGCCGGATGAACAGGGTGGCAAGATGGCGAGTCAAGAGCGGACGCATGGTGGAGGATCGGCATCTCAACAGGTCGTGACCCCTGCGCCTTGGAGTCAAGGCCGGGGAGATTCAAGAGCCAGCGTCTTGGAGGCTACGAGGGGGGACTGGGCGGGTACCGTTCCCAGGAGGCGATGACCAGATAGTTGCGACGTGGACAGTCAGGTTGCTCACAGGCAAAAGGTGATGGGGGTACGGGACGACGTGTGGGACGAAAGTTGGCACGACAAATAATGATAGATGATATGTGCGAGGACGCAATGTATTTTAATCGTATCATGGTATGCGGGGCTCGTGGCCTGGAGATGCGGACCATACACCAACGCATCCGGCAGTCAAAGCATAGCCGCTGTCTATAGTGTCGCGGCGATCCCAGTCGTGATATTGTCCTGCCCATGCTTGTCAAGCTCGACAAGTGCACACCTCGACTTCCAGGACAAAGCAAGGGTGTCATTGCAAGACGAGACGGAAGATCACCGGTTGCGGAAGGTTGCCGGTGCCCGACCCTTTCTTCCTTTGTTGACATGTCCTTTTGGACGGACATCGATGGGTTATCGTCCTATGCATCAATATCGAGTGGTTACATCGAGCTCACCATTAAGTCGAACAGCTTTCTTAGCCATGAATTTGTTGCAGTATTGCTGCACAACGAGCAGAATGACCCAATTCCCAGGTTTGCCTTCTCTGCCTTCTCCTGGCCTCGATTCTCAACCGTTTGAGATGATAACCGCATTTTCGGAATCCGCAGAATGTGGGCTTTTACAACTGTCACAACGCTGCTGGTGTAGTGGTAACATGAGAGCTTCCCACGTGATCTGTGGCCGACGACCTCGTCGGATACGTGTGCTTTCGCCAGGGGTTCGATTCCCCTGCAGCGTAGGCTGTAGCCCTTTTTACGTAATCTCAAGCCGGTAGGGAGGTAGCCGGGTGTCCTCCCGACTTCTCCTCGAAATTTGGGGCCGAAAGCTTTCGAATTGAGCGAATATGGTGAAGAGAATGCATGGGTGGGTTGGAATGTAAGAGAAGAGTGAAGGTGTACGATCTCCATCGTTAGGGATCAAGCCCAGGGGTAGTACCTGTTTCCGATCCCATCAAATCGAACAACAATCATCAAACCCAGGAGGAGAATGATCGAATACGAGGAGTGGAGTGGAGGGAGTGAAATGTCCGACGCGTCAAAGCACATGGACCATCGCGTTTCAGAATTCCAACGTCGACTCTTTTTACTTCACTGCACGCTTCCACATATACGTCGAGTACTTTCAGAACGTCTCTCATCTGACCATGTCCATGGCACTTGAGGATGATGCGGATCCGACATATACCCATTTCGCACACCGCAGCGAGTTTCTACACCAGCTGAATCGGTTCATCAAGTTGGATCTCACGAGAGACCCAGATCAATTCGAGGACGAGGATGAGGAACGCTCGGTCGCTCGACTAGGATCCATCGTGAGTGCAATCTCGCCAGCTAGCTTTACATTCACGATGCGACGCTCACGGGCAGCTCGACTTTTACCTGCCTCTCCCCGGTCTACTCGACCCTTCGTTGCACGAGATCGTACCCCCTTTGATGGATGTGTTGCTCTCGTCCCTTCATCTCCTCGTCGACACTAGTCCCGGCGAACATGTCAATGGACCTCGTCTGCAACGGCTCGGAAGGGTGATCAACTGGGTGATCAAGGTTCGAGGCTGGAAAGCCATAGGTAGGTCTTTGTCCGGTGGCTCGCTATATATCCGATTGACTTGCAGTACCTCACTTCCCGTCAAGCATACACAACTTGCCAATCCTCATCTTCCTGCTCTCTCCACCCTGCAACCCTTCGTGCTCCTCGGCCCCAGAGACACCTCACCATCCTCTATTATCAGGCCAAGAGGCATGGGAGGTCCGCGCTGTCCTGCTCCTTTGGCTATCTCTGCTGCTCACCGTCCCGTTCGATCTCTCGGCTCTCTCTTCCGGGACGTCCACTCTTGAAGACCTCATCTCACAATACCCCACATTCGACCGACCCTCGCTGAATGTCCTCTTTAAACGATCGCCATCGCAGATCTCAGCTCAAGTCACCCTCCTCGCCCTCCCGCTCCTTCATCGACCAGGCAAGGAAGGGTCATACGCCGCACTCGTCCTCGCTCGACTATTCTCGCGCACTGATGCCGTCCGTCACCTGTCTGACTTTCTCGACTGGATAGCAACGGAGCTAGAGGCCGGGGAGAGGGAAGGAGAGGCGCATTTCGTAGCCGCGTTACTGGAATTCCTCGCCATCATGCCTAGTCTGCTCCCGCACGAGCACCTGGGACTCCTCGAGGCCTTTATGGGGGACAAACTCTTGCCGCATCTGAGAGGAGGTCGTACCGCAGCGAGTAGTGGACTGGTCAGGAAGTTGAGCGTGAAGGCTCGAGGTCGATGGTGGGTCGCAAAACTGGGTCATCATTACACGGAAGGTGGGTAGTATCCGCCAGTCCAGGCCACCTCGACTCGAAGATAATGACTGATGCATTGCAGGTATCGCATCGGAAGTCGAAGACATGCCGGATGGGTTGGAAGAAGAGCTCGATGATCTTATGAACGGACTGAGCGATAAGGTGCGTTAGATCAACTCACAGCGCTCCTCGGTAACTTACGAAAGGACACAATCGTGAGATACTCCTGCGCCAAGTACCTGGCCCGAATTTCCGCTCTCCTTCCTTCTGCATTTGCCGAGCAGATAGTCCTCGCAACTATATCACTATTCGGAGGGACCGACGATGAGCCAGTCATCGCCACCCCATTCGGTGTCATTGTCGATCCTGGAGGTACCGCAGCATCCGGCGGGACGATGGGGCTCGGAGGCGCAGACACCACACGGGGCGAGGCGAGGTGGCACGGCTGCTGTCTTGCCATTGCCGAGATGGCCCGGCGCGGATTGATAGTTGACGCCGAGGTTATCTCGTTGTCAGTGGAATGGGTACTCAAGGTCAGTTTCTAGGGCTCTGTGCGAAGGACGGCAAAACTCACATCAGGCATTGACGTTTGACCTGCGAAGAGCATCTTACTCCATTGGGGCGAATGTCCGAGATGCCGCGGCATACCTGGTCTGGTCATTGTCACGAGCTTGCCGACCCGAGTCTCTCGCAAACCACGCTGAGAACCTCGCTACTTCTCTGACCTGTGTGGCATGTTTTGACCGAGAGGTCGGCGTGAGACGTGCTGCCAGCGCAGCCTTTCAGGAGGGTGTCGGACGACATGTAAGCCTTCTGCGACGATCCCTGATGAAAGCTAACATCCCGTAGGGTCTGTATCCGGAGGGTATCGATGTGCTGGGGAAGACCGATTTCTACAGTGTCAGCGTGCGGCGGATGGCTTTCACTAATGCAGCCCCCGCTGTGGCCCGGTGAGTCGATTACATTGTGCAGACTATGACCGGTCTAAGCCGCAGCCACCGCGTTTATCGTGACAGGATGAGAGAACATTTGCATCAGGTCACGCTACGTCACTGGGACGTGGCGATGCGGATGCTAGGCGCCTCGACACTGCAAAGTGTTCTAGGTATGAGTGGGCCCGACGACCTCAATAATTCGATTCAACGCGAGGTAGGGGAATCCGCCACGCCGATGAACACTCCAACTAAAACGGTAGATTAAACAGATCCCATCGCTGGATTCAGTCAATGTGCATGGTGCACTGGTCGCCTTGGCCAAAATGGCGGAGATACTTGACCCGTCCGACAAGAGGAGAAAGCAGGTGAGCTGGCCATGCCTGGTTGTGACTGACACGCTGATGGCAGATCCTTCATGCGGTATCGTCGGTCCGATCCGCTGCTCTCCTCTCGAGCCAGGGTGCAGAGATCACTCAAGCGGTCTGCGACCTCATCTCTGCCTCGTTGTCCCCCATCCTACTGGACCAGCCCGTGCTGAACGACCTCGTATTTCATTACCTCGATTTGACGATGAGCAGGAAAGAGTCGGAATGCTACGAAGCTGTGTCGAGGATGATTGCCCGACTGAGCAGTCTTCGGGCCGCTGACAGGGAGGTCGATAGGTGAGCCACCAATAGTGTGCAGAGTCGAGCCACTTGCTTACTTGCAGACTCCTAGAAATTATCAGGTCGCCACGCGTCATACCTCGACAAGTGGGTGCTCTCGCTCTGGGCCAGGTACGGTATATTCAATGTCCGGACAAGCTTGGCAGCGTGATGCAAGCTCTTCTGCATCAAGGAGAGGAAGCTGCGAAGGTAGGATTGGTCCTCTGCCGAAGGCTTGTCACTGAGTCCAGGCCGACGTTGAGACGCGCCGATATGCGATACGGTCTCTTGCGTGCATTCTGCAGCAGTCTTCTCCATCCGGAACTCCTCTCCGTGTGTGCTTCACGAATGAGGGCGGGCGACCTCAGAAATTGATAACAGTGGACCGGGCGCAATTCAAAGCGGCGTATGCGACTTTTCTCAAGGCTTTGACGGACTACTCGACAGATCAACGTGGCGACATCGGTTCTTGGATAAGGATCGCCGGTCTCACTGCCCTTTCTCGAGCCATCGCCACGGCTGTGACGTTGCCGGGCACTCATGACTGGGTTTCGCAGCGAGACTTTGACGCAGCCATCGATGGAATCGTCAAGCTTGGTGTTGAAAAGCTCGAGCCGGTCAGAGCAGCTTCGTGGCGGGCGTGGCGAAGATTGAAAGCAGCGCAGGCTGTACAATGCTGGCATTGGGAAAGCAAAGACGTCTGGACTTTTGAAGTTCAAGATGAGAGGTCGGTTTCTGCGGTCTTGCCCGGTTCTGCGCTGATGAGAAGCGACGAGTCGTTCCGGTACATCGACTTGAAATCATGGTATCTCTCAGCAATGCCTGTGTTGGACACCAAGCAAGAAACGGCTTTGATATCCGGGCTGTCGAATAGCATCGGGAGTCAAGTGCAGACTGTGGTGAGCTAGCTGCGATTCACGCTGAAAGTACTCCCTGACGGCAGTCGTCAGCCGCCTTCTCAGCGTTTGAGGAGTACATCAAGGTCCAGGGCTCGTCTGAAAAGATACTGGGCCAAGTTGTCCGGATCCTGCAATCGATATCATCGACTGGGGTAAATCAGAATCGCCTCTTCCTTCCGGCCCTGTCGACGGTGACGAAGATTCTGTCGAGTGACAAGTTGCGAGAAGCCGTGGCTACCGAAGAAATCAGTTCATCGCTCATCGGTATTATCGGCACCGCGTGTAGGGGGATCCCCCAAATAAAGTCGATAGAACGGATCAGTGCCTCGATGAGATTGTGGGTGATCTGCCGGCGCGCTCGTTGCGAGTGGATGAAGAGTGGATGAACGAAATGAACAATAGCTGAAACGACCAGAGTGATCGCTTGTCTAGCTCTGACCGGCAAGGCGGGTGTGCGGAGGAAAGCCATTTCTGCTCTACCACTATTCCTCGCCCACCGGTTCCCGAGGGTGAGTCGCGAGCGCCTTAACAGTGAACGGAGTGAGGCTAATGAAGCAGATCCGCGGCATGTCCGCCGAAGCACTGTACCTGATCCTGTCGGAACTTGACGAAGAGCTGGATGAGGAGATTGAGGAGGCTTTACTAGAGACGGCATGGACGGACGAGCATATGGGCGAGTCACAAGCTCGGGTCGTGGTGACCTTGCTCGAAGGGTGGCTCGGTGCAAGTTAGACTCAAGGAGCTAGCGTGTTAGTGGGGTGGCGAATGACCCAATCAGATTCAGGGGTTTTTTTGGGTCTTGACTTCACCACTCACAGTATAATGCACTGCATGCATGTAGTGAGGACTTTCTGTGAGAAAGAAAAGGCTGTTCCCAAAGTAGATTGCTGCATCATGACACAGAGGTGAGTGCAGCGCATGGATGAGGGTCTCGTCGAAACAATCCTCGATCTAACGGTGACGATGCTAAAAACGACATA